CCATGTGGAGGAGTAAAAATTTTACTATTTTTACTCCTCTAACGGTTTTAAATATTCGGCTGCGTATAAGTTAGAGAAGTAAACCACAAATTTTACTTCTCTATAGCCTTTTAAGGGATCGGTTTGAGACTGACAGTCTATGAGTAATGCTGGACATACAAAGAGTTACGGGGGATTTACAGACTAGTGAGTTTTGATTCAAGATTAAAGGGATAGAGGGGCCCACCCCTGTGAAAATCAGGAGGAGGGGTTAGTTAGAAAGGAAGAATCCTAGTCAATGTGTAACTTTTTGTGTGTATAGCATTATTGGACAACCTATCTAGGTCGGTGCACTCGCTGATATCGGGGGAATTGGTTTGAAGGGTCGTCAAGCCCCGTGCGATCGACGCAAAGGAGCTAGAGCGTGAAAATGGAGGCGGAAGCCCGCCAGATTGATGGCATCATGTAGGTTGTTGGTGCTAGGGTCGCACACCTCGAGTACCTAGCAACTAGCATGAGGCGAGCCCTACAGGCCGGGGCCAGACAATGTGTTCTAGATGTCCATGGAGATTGAATGGTTGTCTCCAAACCAAAACTGAACGAAACAAGAGCACGGACTGGATGCCCATGGAGGAGAATACTACTAGATGTGTAACAGTAGTTCTACTCAGCCACAAGCTGTGCATCTGGCGTGGCGGTGTGCGCTGGCTCATTGCGGCGCCGTGCATCTCGTCATGGCGGGGTTCGGGCCGGGCCAGCCACAAGCTGGCCGGGTGTGAGGGAGGCGACTGGAGCAAGGCAGGATGACGTGGTGCAGCGGCGGGACCGACGGGTCCGGCAGTAGTGCGGTGGCACGCTTATGATGGAGGTGGTGCTGTCTGGAGGCGGCGGCATGAGCCCACAGTCAGGCGGGTGACAACGCTGAGATGGCTTGGCCAGATTGGAGTTCTGGCGAGCAGCAAGCGGCTGGTCACCCCTGTGTGCTGTGGCGAGCCGCGATGCCTCCTGCTGGTCCTGGCATGGGAGTTCTTCGGGTGAGGCAGGTCTTATAGTCGCAAGGCCATCCCTTGAAGTGGGCGACAGCCGTCGCGGGTGGTCCTGGACATTGCCGGGGGAGTGGGGTGGTCGCGGTTCTCCCGTCTAGACTGAGAGTTGGTGGTGTGGCCTAGCTTTCTCCCTTGCCATGCATGCGGCCGGTCGCCTGCCCTCGGCTTTGTGGCTACGTCGACAAGGTGATGCAGTCGCGGCGGTGTGTGGATACTTGGACTGTATCACCAAGTCCCTGGAGGTGTGGAGATGGGCAACATACGAATGAAAATATTGCTTGGCTTTCGCCGGGCCAGCGGCGGTTGCATTTGTGGTTGTCATTCCCCTCCTTGGAGGCGTCACTGAGGCGTGTTTTCGGTGCGCTCTTTGTAGTTGGTGATTGTCTCCGGGCGAAAGCCTCGATTCGGAGTTGGATCGGCACGGTGTCCTGGACGTCACTTCTTTGTTGGGAGCATGGCGTGTTTGGAGACATGGATGCTTCCTTGTTGTTCTCCCCCGGTGCCCGCCGGGGTCCTTTCTTGATCCTTGGCGGCGCTATGTATGCCCATCACCGGTGTGTCCAAAACGGTGCCTCCCTCGAACCGGATCGAGTCCTGCCATCCACTTGCCTTTTCCTCTTAGGCGTTCAGAGTGGGTGGTGCGTCGACAAGTAAAGCTCTGCGGAAGTTTCGTCTTTGTAGATGTCCGATGTTGTTCGTGACGCGGTGCTGTGTTTCAAGTTAGGACAGGGTCTTTTGTTTGTGGCTTGCTTTGCGGTGGTGATCGTCTTTGGTCTTACCTGGGTGTGGGGTATGTGCTACGCTCGTTCGCAGTGAGTGCTAGCTTTTTTGTAATTAATATTCCGCCTTCTATATAGCTATGATACATCTTGGCGTACTTTTGAAAAAAAAAGTTAATAGAATCAAAAACTAGTTTTCGAAACAATTTCACCTAGATCAGTTTTTTATTTTTATTTTTGCAAGGGAGTTGGATTAATTCAGTATTAGAAAAACTTCAGTTTTTTGTTAGCATGTTATTTGCTTGGTTGTCACTAATACTAGACGATACCCCACGGTTTGCCGCAGGATTCAAATCAGACGGATGTTAGCTGACCAAGCTAGCAAATCCAATGGCTAAAACAATTTGGATGATGTGGAAGCACGCATGTGCAGAAAAATAGCCGTCTTATAACATAAGAGTGTTATTGGTACTACTATAGTGTCAAAAACGATATTATATTATGGAACAAAGGGAGTAGCAATTAATGACTTATAGTGGGGCTTGTCTATATAAGATATATAAAGTGAATATGCGGAAATTCCTTTTGGAGCTCGGGCTCCAGTGAGGCCTCCAAATTCAAATTTGAAATTTCATTAAAATTCATATTTTTACATTTAAAAAAATTCTGAAAAAATTTCAGATATACATGAAGGCATAACACACATGTGTGTAAATTTTCAGTTTAAAATACATTGAAATGAGGGTTGTGCAAAAAAAAACAAATCTGTGGTTGTTTAACACATGATACTATTCATCCTCCCAAACCATGAATTTGTCTTTTTTGTACAACTCGCAACTCAAGGTATTTTATCATGAATTTTTTACACACATGTGAGTTACATACATGCATATTTTTTCAGAATTTTTTGAACCATAGAAGATTGAATTTGAATTTTTCAAAAATTAAGGCCTCCATGGAGTTCGGACTCCAAAACACATTTCTCGTGAATATTTATTGAACTAAAAATAGTTTTTCCGTGCAGGTTCTAACCGCCTGGAAGTTAATAATCAAAAACTAATTTTCAAAACAATCAATTCGAAAAAAGAAACAGTATAATAAAAGAAGCCGAAATACTTACACGAGAGCTGCTCGTATAAGCTGTAGCATTGCATCCGACGACGATAATTATGTTATCATCCGATATCCAGAAAGGTGTATCCGTGAAATCCAGGTAGCCAAATTGGTAAATCATAGTACCAGTGGCTGTGTCATTGCACTGCGACGAGATCGTCATGGCGTTCATCCAGGCCTTGCCGTCAGGCAAGGAGATCTTGGTCACCTCGATCGGCTCGTTATACCACGTTGTATTTACAAAAGGCTTGCTGACGCCGCCAACCACAGACGTGCAGTTGATGGTAAAGCCGCTGTGCAACGCGCACTTCTCGTCGATGCCAAACGGGAATGGAATGTCGACGTTGCCACACTTAGCCGGGCAGTCGGGACGCTGGCCTGCCGGTACATCGGCCGTGGCCAACACCCAAATCGCCGAAAGGCAGAGAAGAGCATGCCAGGAAAGAAGAAACCGAGAACACCCCAGCTTCACCATTGCAGGTTAACCGGTAGGTGTGGATGTGTCCTCCTGTCCTGAGTTCCTAGCTATTCCAGGGCTATAAATAGTTCTCGCGAATGGACAACGGGAGCCTGAAGGTTGACTACTACTTGACTTGTGGTTATACATACTATATAGTTATTTTTCAAGAAATGGAAACGTTTTTTTTTTCAGGAAATGGAATGCCGCTGTGCAACTG